ATGAAACTTAACCCCCCCCCTCAATTTGATAACAAAAATTTTGCTTTTTTAATTAAAAGTTTGACACAATCAGTTACTTTTATAGGAAACATGCATGTTTGTAAGTTTAATAAATTGGAGCAACATTACTTCTGGTAAATAAATACCAATTTACATTTATATTTTGCAAGCCATAGAGATCATCTATTAATTTCTAATACATAGTGTTTATCAAACATTTTGTTAAAGCAGGGAAATTAAGCAAATTCAATCCATTACAATTAGATTCAATGCAGCAGTTACAGTACCATTTATGCTTCAGGACGAACAAGCACAGATGGCAGAGCAAAGGCCATTCACACTGACCAATTGGGGCCTTGATGCTGGATCAATTTCACACTGATGTCTAGGCATGGGCCGATTACCGGTTTCAAGGTATACCACGATTTGAAAATTTCACGGTTTCAAAACCACTAACATTTTCCATTATACCGTCCCTGCGGTATGCGAGAAAATCCTCAATATTGATTTGGGGGTTTATATGAATGTGTTTCTGAGGGGAACTGACGGTCTTCAGAAAAGTTTAGATGGTATTTTCTTTTAATCTCGTCTCTGTATAATTCATATTAAAGCAGTGTTTCAGCAGTGCTGCTATGTTTACAGCGGTAACCAAGGAAACGCTGTATCTGGTGTTCCAGACAAATCAAAGTAAAAAATAAACAAATACTACTGTTCCAAATATTCTGTATGTTGCTCAAAAATAAAATATATTGTGTTCAGTGGTAACGTTTTTTCCCCCCCCCCAAACATTTTAGAGCTGTAACAACAATACCGTGAAACCGTGATATTTTTGCTTAAGGTTATCATACCGTCAAAATCTCATACCGGCCCATGCCTATTGATGACATAAATATAATATTATGACAGCTGTTAGTATATAGCAGATCCTTTCTGTGATCATACTACATTATTATATTGTCAACAAGCAAGCTTGCTCACTACCTTGTAAGTCTGCACTAACCTTTATAATGCATCCTTAATGCCAAATGTCACCACATTAAATCCTAAGCAGGTGATTTAAGGGCATCCTACTGACAAAGACTTGAAATGGAGATCTGATGGGGTTGAAGAAATCTCAATAGACAATATTAAAATTAATGTAAAACATATGGCTGCATATGACCATATGGCACATATAAAGTAATCTGATACCATTCTAACTAGTCTGTTACATCCCAAAGAAATATGCCTCAAAAATAAGATATTTTAATTGTTTTGTGCTTGGGCAACTATGAACATTTAGCACAACATCATACTGGGTCTATAATGAATGGAAGCAAAGCTTGTGATATATATTCCCCCTTTCTCTTTTTTCCACCATCAATAATCAATCATCATGCACGGTTTGACTGCTTGAACGTAGGGTTGTTTAAAACAAACATAAAATATTCGGCACGGAATGCATTTAAGTGAAGCTATTGCACTGCACAACAATATGACTGATGGAACAAACCAGTACTCACGTAATATATATCATAAATTTGATTGGCCAAGTGGATTTCCGAGACTGCTTGATACATATATAAACTAACTCAACAATTGTCTGAAATGCAAGTTACTTAATATGAACTTAGAGCTTGTATAAAAGCATATATTTAACTAATACTACAACTCTTACTTGCGTGATATCATATACATATATATGTTTTTGTGCACAAAAACACAAAAGTGATTTTAAAATGTCTTAAAACACCACTGAAGATGGAGGACACACACAGCACAGATGTCTCAGCCTCTATGAATGAGTGAAACTGTAGAAACACTGTTTCTGGGACAGGATGAGCGCTAATCCTATCCAGACCATGCCTTGAGAAGCAAGCACTCAATGCAAAAAAATAGAAGGGATTGAGACAAATGAGAGAAATGGGAAACTAAAGAATGACAAGTGAGCAAAGACCTTTGGAGAATGGTCAGGAATAGTTCTGTATCCAATAATGCCAATAAAACTTCCAATGAAACCTCTTTGAAAAATAAGTTTTATAGGGATTTAATCTTCATCATGCCTTTATCCGGGGTGCTAAGGTCTTGAAACCAAAGTAGTTTCTGCAGCCAAGTACCTTACAGATACAGATAATATAAATTCCTGTTTGTCAGAATGATCGTGCCAATTCATAAGAGTGCATATGCCAATGCTGCAGAAGAAATCACACATTCCCATATATAAATTTGACCAGTTGCACCAAATGAGTCACTTTCCGCAGATCATTTCCTTTAATCTGTGGAACACAAAAGGAGTTACTATCAGGATATCAACAACAATGCATTATGCATTGTCAAGTTCAGTTGTGTTTTGCATGCAAAATTATATTGGACATGAGTAACATCTTAAGTCAAAGTACTGCTTTTCCTTTGGATATGAAGTATCTTGCCTAGGGCACCAAGTGAGCCACAAATGACCCCTCTCAAAAAAGGTATATCATGAATTCTTCCCATAAATTTAAGTAAGATGCATGGGAAAAAGGTTTCATTACAATAAATTGAATTATCAGTTCAACCGATTATGTCGAAATTATGACACTGTTCTATGATTTCTAATGTTCTATTTAATAGCTGGATACTGTCTAGTGTAATAAGAAAGTTTGGACCTTTGAGTAGTTTAGGCCAAAATTTAGACATCAACTTTTTATGGTAGGTTAATTTTATTAAAGATAACAGATTATTAAACCTATACAATAAGTTTCAAAAAATGGAGAATGTTTGTGTCTAATACTGAAAAAAAAACTTAATTGAATACAGTATTTGATCAAATTTGTGTTCTGTTCTCTGCCCATTAACATGACTAGATAAATAGCCTGTAGTTTAGCATTTAGCCTACTCTATTTAAAGTGTGTCTTTCTGCACAGTCATTTTCCAGGTATTACAAACCTCTTACCCTGGTCCTAAATACACTATTACACTATACACAATGACCAAAACATGATGATTTAGCTCTTCCAACTTTTAGGCTTTAAGAAATCCACATACCTTGTGTGACAGCCGTGATTATCGTTGCCAAGAATATCTGCAGAATCCGCCATAGGTGAGAATAGACGCTCATTTTGGCCACAGGGGTTGACTATGATATGTCCCATTAACGTTTCTGACGTCTCTGAACCCTAAACAGGAGAGACTAGCAGCGCATTTGTTCCGTCAGCATCATGAGGCTGTTTTACCTGTGGATTCTTCACCTGTGCACGCGCTCCTAATTATTAATTTCAACTGCAACAGCGGCCAGTGTGCCAAAACTACATGTTAAGAAAAGTACAGCCTCAACTGGGTATCTTTAGCGAGATTTACAACCCATTTTGTTTGTCTTCTCTAAATTAATGCACTGCTTTCCATTATAATCCAACGAAAGAAAGGTACCTCAGTTTTCTCTTGTTGATAACTGTCCTTGACTTCGTGCGTCCTGTCGTGGTCTCGTCCACGCAGAAAGTGTCGAGGAAGCGCGAAACACCAGTCATCTGTCCAGCCGTGACCCATCGCGAGCTGTGGATCCTCAGCAGCTCAGAACGCACGAGCGACAGGATTGACCGCTAACAGTGAATTAAACACGAGACAGGCGGTGAGAGTCACGCGATTAACTGCTCAACGCAGAAAGAGATTAAATATGCTTGCTTGTGTTATTCATATTATATTACATAGCAAATTTGTAATGTAGGCCTACCTGTGAAATCATACACGTACAAAACACCGGAAAGTTTCACTTAAATCACCAAATCTGTCATCAAAGTGAGTGAGTGAACCTGTGAACATTAGTTGTGGAATGACAGGGACCTCTCGTGGTCATATTTTAAAATATATTTTTGCGTTTGTTTCTTTTATCAGTAGTCTCGTGTTTTACTCGAATTCTTCAGTTTGCATTTCTTTTGTTTATAGATAAGGATAGTGAGACATATGGAGAGAAGGAATATGTTATTGTTCTAATGTCAAGAGAAAGTAATCTAGCATTTACATATCTCAGTGAAACTGCTTGTTTCAAATTACTTTAACAACAGAAACTTGTTGATAGAGGTAAATTAATAAACCATAATTCATTATGTGATTCCAGAAGATAAAGAACTTTATGTTCTTCAATAAAAATGTTATTATGGGGGGAAATGTGATTTCAGTCTACATCTTGATTGTAGCTCTTTGTAGTTTTTTAGATGTCCCACCTGCGTGTCCCTCCCAGAAGTCTTCATATGAAATCTACACCACTGGTCTGTATTAAGAAAGTTTGAAAGCACTTTATTTACTGCAGTATGAGGAAGCTTTAGTTTCCTGATGTTATTTCTGTGTAGTACTGTTGGAGTATATGGATTCCTGTCACAAAGTTCAGGAAACTTCAAAAGACTTAATTAGATTAAAGATGAATTTGTTTATTAACTATTATAAAGAAGACCAGTACATTTCATACATTTACATGCCAGAGGAAATTGTGTGTGTACTGGGAAGTTTTTATCAAATTTTATCAAAAGTTTTTTTTTTTTATCAAAACTTCCCCGTAGTTCCACCAAAACTTCCTCATGTTTACAAGCTTTAGCGCTCCTGTAAAAGAACCTGTTTGTATGTTTACAACAATCATGTTAAACAAGTTTTGGAACAGAGATCCATTACTGTTGTGAATACAGCCAAACCTGCACCAGCAGTGGCATAGCATCTGGGTGAGCAGGGTATGTATGTGGATATAGGCCCAGGCAGATATAGGAACCCACATTCATAAAGCTATAACATCATTCACTTCATTGACTATGGCTCAAAGCTCACTCAGTTGCCCAAGCAGCCTCATAATGTCCCATAAAATTCAATGATTAATATTCATTGACTGTGGTTTACACTCATTGTTTTATTAAATATATTAGGTAAATTGCTCAATAGACAGTTTTTGACTATTACTAACACTCTCGTGTTTGATCTTGATGTCCTGTTACTTTACAGAGATTACGTAGTCTATTTATCGGATGAAAATAATTAGTTGTAAGTGTCCTTTGCAAAGCAATGTGTTTAGTATTTTCCTGATATGCTGCAGTGAACGTCTGTAAATGGCTCTTTGTTGCACTTCTTGTTTTGGGCTCATTAAATAAAAAAGGCTCAGGGTTGACTTGCTACGCTATTGTGCACCAGGTATTTAAGTTTGTGATACTTCCTCATACAAAAGCACACGGGGAGAAAGGAAGGTCCTTTAAACATGTGAAAGTTACTGTGATCTTGATGACGATATATATACCTTCATAATGTTCAAATGAGGGGGGGGGGGTTCACCATTGTGGTCAGATGCTGAGTGTGTGCTTGGATTGAGGGCCTGCTAACATTCTTGCTTTAATAATAATAATAGTATTGTTATAGGAATGCCCTTAAATGGCAGTGAAATTTCAAACAAGCAAACAGTGTCTGTGCTGTAGAGAGTTAAAAAAAAAATATGAGTGCACAAATAATGAAAGAACCAATTAAAGCCTCTGATAGTTTGGGTCTGATCTTAACATTTTTACAATCTCAAATCATCAACATAATAAGGAATAAGGAGCACATCAAGCAATGAAGCAGGTCAGATGATTGTAGAATGGCAACACTTAAGTAAGACTTCATTTTCAATAGGACGCATAACAGGATTTTGCTCATTTTAGTCAGTGCTTAGCACTAAATTGAAGATTAATTATTCTTTATTTTGTACATGAATATACCTTGTGCATTTGTGTATTTATAACAGGTGTATACCAGTGAATATACCAGGTGTATTTGAAGCTTCTGAAACAGTTTTTATAGATGTGTCCCATAACATAAAAGATAAATCATTAAAATCTAATACCACCTGTACTAGTTTGCATAAAACTTTAAAATGTTTTTAAAGAACAATGTTATTTCTCAACGCTTTTTGAAGTGAGCCTCATTAGGGTCAAAATAGGGGATAGTCTCCTTATTCCTAAAAATACCAATTACATGCAAATTTACACATTCACATCTAACCAGTTTTCTTAAAATAAAGAAGAATGAGATATGCTCATCATATATTCTAATTACCATTTATTCGCCATAGCAACAAAGACTTTTATTTTATGAATGTCCATTTCAACATTAACAAACACATTGGTTCCAATTGCATTATTATGTACAAATACAATAAATAAACTCAATATTTCATGTATTATATTTTACACATCATTCACATAATTGTCCACATTGAATAAGTTCTTATACTCAAATATTATCTTACATTCATACAGTATCAGGTGTTTCCCAAAAGCATCTTTTGCTAATTATGGTCGCAAGTTTCAAATAATTCTATTGGTAACGACAGAATTGCGGCCATAGTTGTTTTGGGAAACACACCCCTGAAAGCACCAGATGTTATCTTATATTTCTTCTTTTATATCTTTATATTTCTTGTCTTATCTTTTAGTAATGAAGCAATATCTAAAGGATTGTGAAAATTAGGTTTGTGTATGATAGGAGGTATCATGAAGGACATCATAAAGATAAATTCTTCATTATTAGTCCCCTTGCAGTCACAACGATGACCTGTAATATGCATAATTATTGATCAAGTGACTTGAGTTTAAAAAGTGAGTTTAAGTAGAAATCTACCATCATTACTGAGGTACTAGGATCCTCCCTGTCAAAAAAAAAAAAAGATTGTCAAGTTACATGCATGTACAGGGATGATATACACAGATTATTATAATTCTGAATTATTCTCATCTTCTCTGACCTGTTGATTTCTTCTTGTAGTAAATGAGTCCAGCAGCTGAGATGATGATTCCCAGCACCAGACCAAAGGCTCCAATAGCAATTTTATTCCTCTCAGACTCAGGGAGAGACGGATCTGTGGCGTATGTCATATCATATGTCAAAGTATGCTTACCACAAACACAGTTATAATATGACAGCTGTTGAGTGTCTCATCTTACCCCAGTCATAAATCATGGGTTTACTGAAGCTGGCATGCTCAACCATACATGAGATCTGCTCTCCAGTTTTGGGGCTGTACTCCAGCTCAGAGTGAATCTGGTAGTACCAGTCCCCATCAGCCATCTCCATAGTGGAGGTCACTTCAGAGGTCATCAGTTTACCATCTCTCAGCCAGGACACTTTGATGTGTGGAGGATAAAATTCATATGCGCTGCACAACAACACAGCTGGATGTCTGCCACCAGCCTGCGACACTGAACTGAGCTTAACCTTTGGTTTCACTGAATCAAGAAGAGCAACATCCTAAATACACAGTTTCATGTTGTGTG